ACATTTGATACCAAAACAGTGAGAAAATGGTGGCACAGAAATGTAAGCACTTCGGTAGAACTCTAAACAGTTCTCAAAAGGTTTAGGCAAGAGCAATGCCAAATGGACCATTCAAGTCAGTGTCTTTTGTATCAAGACACAAGTTCTAAACACTCTGATGTTGTCGAACATTTGAACAAACACTAGTGCTAGAAATGAACTTCGGAGTCCAAAGGGCAGTCGGTCATTCTGTTTTGCGTTGGTTTTCAATAAGATACAGATATGTAAGACTTACCTACCCAGAACAAGAACGATTAGCATCGAATGTTTTAGTCCCGCTCCTTGGCCTTCAAGCCAACCGGCTCGGCGCGGGTTAAGTTTCCTACTCAAAGCGTAGTTCTACTCAATAGGCAACTGAAGAACTGACTGCCAGTCCGCTCTGCAAAGGGACCCGAATTTCGGTGGTCTGAAAGAATTAGAAAGCTGTTTAATTATATTCTCTTTTTTTCACCCTTCCCTCACAAAGTTTCTCCTCCCTATGTTGTCTTTAAATAAGACCGTGCATTGGAATTGGCTGGCTAACCAGGAGAATATACAGACCTGGAACATTGTGAGGTTTTTACTAAAATAGTTTTCCAAAACCAGTTAAGGCAAACAGACCAAGCTACGTAATAAAATAGTTGTTCAAAACCAGTTTAGGGCAAATAGATCAAACTACGAGGTCGTACAAATTTGTTACGCATAATAAGCGACTAGGTTTTTTACGAGGTATGCTCATCAGCTTGCTAGTTCCCGTTATTTTATTGATGATTTCGGTGAAGTCATGGTGCTTACTCCCTATGAATACTAACTCTCATTGGTTAATTCATAAAAAATGACAGTCACACAATCACTTGTAGATAATGAGATTTTTGAGAGAGTGAACAGGTTTTTCATATTCAGTGAAAGTTAGTTGTGAGTGACGTTAAGTATGCGGAAATCCATCTTCCGCATCATCTTCCGAATCATCAGGGTGATTCGATCTCACCCAAGGCCCAAACGGCTTGGCTACGGCTCCTCAGCTGGAAACTGCTCTTATTTCTTTTGAGTCTGGTATCTTAAAGAGATTCGGAATTCTTAAGTCACCATTTCATGCTGGAAGTGAAGTCACTGGGTGTCGAAAAGCTGAAAAGCGTTGTACAGTTGTTTCCTCCTCGTTGAGAATCGTCATCCGTGCGCTGTACTTGTCAAACGGCGAGTTCATTCCATTACATATTATTCACTCACTGTCGAACAGTCTAGAGTTTAACTACTAATCGGGAGGTGCTTGCCGCTGTTGACTCCAAAAAAGGATGCTTCTCTGCTTTCCGACATAGATTGACTTCACTTAAAGGTTCAAAAACTTGACCGAGCTCACAGGATTGTCTGGGTGACTTTTAGAAAGTAAGCTCATCTTTTTCACTTTGGAAGTTATTCCAAATATGGAGCAATATCAGAATACGTCACTTTGCTCTGTGTTATCTTTAATTATCTGTCCTTGTAACCGATCTGTCTGTCAGATTTCATCTCAGTAACTGTGTTGTGTCCCTAGCAATATTATTTTTGCAGACTTTCAGCGAACAGGAATATAATCTGTCACATGGTTTCCAAACTAATGCCTCGTTCGCATGCAGCCTGGGAGAAAAATGTACTACTTGCGTATCTTCCATTTAATATCTCCCTCACCTATTCTCATTAGATTCAACATGTCTAAAATTTTTTGGGATTTGTGCCCATTTCGTAGCTAGGATGCCGCTTGACAGGTTACATCAATTTTCAATAACGAGATACCAACATCTTAAGAGCGTAAAACAAAGACCAAAGGCAAAATGAAATAAAAGCCAAATGCGGTTTCTGGGGGGTATTCTCGCAATAACTTTTTAGACTGATTATACTACTGTTTATTTCAAAATGAACAAACGAAAGCGCAGTGATGGTGGGGGAAACGAGCGTTTCCTTGAATCCGTTTACGTGCACACTGCAGAAGAATATGGGACAAATAAAACTGAGGTGAAATTCACTAAGACAGTGCAAGGTATACTATCGATTTTAATTGCTCATACAAAGCCAATCTCAAAAGCTTGATGAGAGTGGATTTTTTAGAGTACAATCTTTTCAAAACTATATAAGGGAGCCATGCAGCTGTAATTGAGGCAGTATTCTCCCACCCAACAAATAGTATGAGCACACTTATTACCAAGACTTGATACCTATGATTTTCGTGCATTTTGAGTACCAAAGTGGAAATATCATCCTAAGTGCAAAAACGTCTAACAGCAAGTCCAAACAGCATTTCCCACCTAATCAGATATTTTTTGGTTTTTCCTTTTTCATATGTTTACATCAGCTTCTCCTTTTCAGTTCCGTATGAGGATTGACGCTGTTGTTACCTTTTAACGAATTCCTACCAGATGGTATATGCCGAGCGTCCAAAGTGGAGCGAAGGATAGTTTCTGCTTCAAATAGACTTTCTTCTGGGACACAATGTGGCTGGTATTATGTATAAAGTTTATTTAATTGCCCTACTGCTTTCAAAAAATGCTCAGCAAATGAAATAAAAAGACAGTCAAATAGTCTGAATGAGACGTACTCTAACCGGGCCGGAAACGGACACTCTTCACGCTCATCAAGTCGAGACTTTTGAAGTTGATGGCAGACGGAATGAATGAGTGCACCCATCCAGACAGGCATTCACCATGGTAGAAAGGCGCCAGTTGCATTGAACACCACATAGAGGTAACGGAACAGTCAGGAATCAAATAGACGCTGGGACATAGTGTGGCTGGTATTATGTATAAAGTTTATTTAATGGCCCTACTGCTTTCAAAAATACTCAGCAAATAAAATAAAAAGACAGTCAAATAGTCTGTATGAGACATACTCTAACTGGGCCGGAAACGGACACTCTTCACGCTCATTGCCCTACTGCTTTCAAAAAATGCTCAGCAAATGAAATAAAAAGACAGTCAAATAGTCTGAATGAGACGTACTCTAACCGGGCCGGAAACGGACACTCTTCACGCTCATCAAGTCGAGACTTTTGAAGTTGATGGCAGACGGAATGAATGAGTGCACCCATCCAGACAGGCATTCACCGATGGCAGACGGAATGCATGAGTGCACCCATCCAGACAGGCATTCACCATGGTAGAAAGGCGCCAGTTGCATTGAACACCACATAGAGGTAACGAAACAGTCAGGAATATCTGTTAATTCCATGCGAGTAGCTCAGGAGTGAAATGAATGATGATTCAGAGTGCACGAATTTTTAAATCGTGAAATATAGCACATAGTCTAAAATTGAGTCCTTCAGCAACGAGTGCAATAAAGCATCCATCAAATTTGATTAGTTTCAAAAGAAACACTAAGGCTGCTAAGCGGAAAAAGTCACAAGTTTTTTCCCGGTTTCATTGTGTTCATGTATAAAGATGAAAATGATATATCGGTGCTTTTCTTTCGAAAAACCTTTTTCTACGTCAAAACACTGGGTGGTTAGTAATTTTTCTGCCGTCAGCAAATTTTAGTTTGAAAAAAGTGTTAAAAATAAGAGTTCCAAGTGTATGGAGGATTGAAAATGGATTAAACAACTCCGTTGATTTAAGGGTTTATGGGATCGGCGGATAAGACTGATTGATTGCAAAGTCAATACAATACTTAGTTAGTCTCGGCTATGAGAAATCAGAAGAAAACCAGTCGTGGGACTGAGTAAAAACTAGACACGTAAAAAGATGTGCTGCTACAAGAGTTGCAAAAAAATCTGCAAAATTATCATTGGATCCCAAAGATCTAAAAAAATAGACACGTCCTTGAAATGGTTCATTTAACAGAAAACATCTTCGCAATAAATAGACACTCATTCCGGAGAATATGCCTAATGTGATTAGCCTGCCTCCTTGTTTTCATTAGGAAAGCCAGTCGTTTGCAACGAATTCTGGGCACGTTATTGCGTAATTCCCAAAAACTCGGAGAATATGTCCAATGTGATCAGCCTGCCTCCTTGTTTTCATTAAGAAAGCCAGTCGTCCGCAACGAATTTTGGGCACGTTATTGCGTAATTCCCAAAAACCTAGTTAAAGTGTACGGAAAACTAATGAAATTTAGTTCCAACCTTTGCGGTTTTTTGTTCATTGGCTAGTTCTTATGCACATCTCACGAAACTCCGAAGAGTCTCGAACCCGCGACCTCCCTTCCATCTGAGAAGTCGTTGCTCGAGGCGCCAGTCAACACGTGTGACCGCGTGATGCGCATCCCGTGATTGAAGGATGAGCGGCGCTATATCCTGTCTAAGTGCGAGTTAATCACACTGCTGATCAGCTACTCGTGGCCGAACGGTTAACAGTTCAAACTACTAGCCAAGAGGTCACGGGTTCGAGGCTTTTCGGAGTTTCGTGAGATGCGCACTGCTGACGATTCCCAATAAGGATGAAACAGGTGTGCAGTGCTTCTCGGTTTTTCAGCATAGATTGACTTCACTTACAGGACGAAATCTCCACAAATATCCCAAATCTTCTCACACTACCAACAAACAAAATTTAATAACTAGGCTAATCCAAATCTGTATTCCAACCTCTGTGCACCACTCATCTGTTTGAGCTTTTTCAGGGAACATTACCGTTCAGTGTGAACGGTTGGATCGATCCTATACCGAATGCTGCAAGAACTCATGTAAAGCTAATTGCTGGGCCCTCATCTCACAACTTGCATTTTCTGTATCAAAATCACCTGGCATACATCTAGCTATCTAGACAAAAAGGTTAGATTATCTGACGGGAATGTTTTCGAGAGGAGAGCAATTAGAAATGTGCGCATCTGTTTGGGGGTCATTGCAAAATTCGAATGGGAATTTTGTGAACCTTCAACGGCAAGCTCCGCGACCATTCACACAAAGCTGGGGGATTGTACAAAACGTAGCTGTTAACCACCACGTATATATCGAGATATGTTGTGAGGCTGCGTTCTCTAATGACGGTGAATGGTAACCCTACTCTGTTTTTTTACCCCAGGAGAGTTTCCCAACGGTTTACGGACTCGACTTGTTGAACAGAGCAATTTCCTTCTGCTGAGTGAAGCCTTGTGTTACATAATCTATGACCTTGCCATGAGTGGATCTGAAATAAGAGCACTCAATGAAGCCCCTGTCCAGAATCGTCTTGACCAAATGGAGACAACGGTAACGCTTGAAAAAAATGTGACTCTGGATCACTTGGCTCAAATTCGCCACAAATCACGCGTAAAAAAGTCCAGGAAGTCTCGCCCAAAGACAACCGATTGTAATCCAAACAACTCGGAGGGAATTACTGCGAAGCCTCCATGCGAATTCCAAATTGCCCCGAATAACTCACCTGGTGATGGGGGTAAAGTCAACCTGGAGAAGATCTGCAATTGCCTGAATAGTTGGTACAGTGGTCTTTATCTTCCATCAAGAGAGTCGATACAACAGGCCCTTGATGAACTAATTGCTAGTGGACAGGTGTACTGTACTGGTAAGTCTCATAGAGTTAACAAACGATTCTGGTTTGAGTTGGTAAAGGTTATCCTCATTAGTTATTTCTATACATGATAGTTCCTTCATTTGGCTAAATGACGTTTCAGTGGATTGACTTTAAACTGCTTTGAGATGACCCAGATAGCGAAGTCCAAAGGTAATCAGGAATGTGACGAAGCGATGAATACTATGTTCCATTGAGGTGGGCGGCAATTTTGAACAAGGATTTAAGACAATGTATGTTGATACCGTACACTACTTCCACCTTGAAGGCCTCAAACACGCGCGCTGTAACCTGAAATCGTTAGTATGATGCAACATGTGCCTTGTTCAATGCGCTGAACCCAGATTACTATGTGGTTTCTTGATATGCCATGAAATGGAACTTCTTTATGTTGGGTAGTTTCTCACCAGTAGAAGAAACCTAGATGTTGCCACAGCACAACATGAACGCCCGATTTTTCGAAATACCCTATTTATGAACCTGAGGTATCTGATTTTTCTGATTGGCTTTGCTGCGGAAATAAACTCCGTCGAGCATTGAGTGTCCCAGCTTTCTTAACTCTTCCGTTTGTATTTTCTGCTTCCCGACCTTTAAGTCACTGTGGTTGTAGAAGACATTCGCCTGTATTTCAAATAATCTCTCAACTGTCGCAGTTTTGGAGCGCGGGTTTACTGTGGAAGTCGAAGAAACCATTCAGAAGATCCTCCTCTGCATGAGACAGCAACTGAAAAGGATTACCACATCAATACGCTCGAATTCATATCCAGGGGATAGACAGCGAACGGGGACTGTTGTACCACAGTTGCATGAACTTCGTAAACGATGGAGAAAAAGACCTGATTACTGTAGATTTCCGGGTAATACAGAAGCACATCTTGATTCAACAGCCACTGTTCCTGTGAGCTGCCAGCGAGCCGCAATAACAAATATTGAGCAGAATAGCAATGAATTGGCGCTGGTTATCATCAAGGTCGAAATACATGTAGAGAAGTGAGACGAGTTGGAGTGATGGGTTGCTAACCACCAGCCCCAGGTAGTAGCCATCACCGTCATCAGCTGAAGAAATAAGAGACGTGGAAATTGCAGTAGAAAGTTAGAGAGTCTACAGATGTGACCGCGGTAGCAGTACTCAAAATTTTAGGCAGAAACGATAGGGGTTGGATGCGCGTACCAGATGCTTCTTACCATAGATTTAGACTTTCCGCAAATCTACTGTTCAATACACGACTAGGACGAATGTTGGCCCTCAATACCGACATGTTTTGTGAGTGGATCATTGAAAGGCTTATGTGAGCCAACTAGAAACTAGTCAGGGCAACGTCCAGCGGTACTGAAACTTCTGTTTACGGATTTTACCGCACGCAGCGGTGGCAGTAACTGCAAAAACCGCTGGGAAGAAACGCTAACACTGCCAAAGTTGCCAGACTTGGCTGCATGGTAAAGCATACACCTCAAGATTTGTTACAATGTTCCGGAAGATCGATTTCGGGGTGTGAGGGCCTGGATTGGGACTTGGAAACACTCAGAACCACTGAAGGCATGTGGACAATAGTTCATGGGATTCCAGTGGAGGGTGAAGAAGTTTGGGTCCCGTTTATACATTCGAATGTAACACCAGTTGCTAAGGTATAGGAGAAGCAGTTCTACGGCATGACGGCATTTCAAAGAGAACGAAAGCCTGTTTTGTTACGGCAAGTACAAATATGTTGGGAAGGTCTGCAAGAGAGAATGTTTATCAACGAGAGATGAGCTCAATATTGTTTTGAAAGAGTACCCAGGTGTACGTCATTCGCAGAAAGGAAGACAAAGGTAAAATTTTGAGGATAGGGGACACCGGTGAAATTCTTCCTATCAGGAACTAGGAACGGGCAAGCCCAAGACTTCTCCACGACACATCCATTGATGGTGAAAGTGCATGTTGATAACCCAGCCGTGGAAGATGAACTACAATCCGGTGAATGTATAAAAATTATATCAAACTCTTGTTGCTCGCAATATCCTATGACCGGACAGATTACACTCGCTCATGCTCAATGAGTTACCTCAAATCATTGCAACACGTCACACATTTAGAGAAACTGGTCGTTACCGGCAGGAGATATTCTCAAAGCCTGGGGTGGAAATAATCAGAGTTTTTAAAATGTCACATGTGTATGGGTTACAGCAATTACAAACTAATCTGTCTGACATCATTAGACACCTAATCTCGCCCAACATGGGTTTGTGAGCGGGTGGTCCTGCAGTAAGAACATGCTTACGGCTAGCGAAGCTTGGTACGAGACGGGGGAGCGTGAAAAGACGGTAAACACAGTCATTTGAGATTTAATCCTGTAAGTGAAGTCGTTTTGGGCTGAAAAGCCTCGAAGCACTGCATAACTGTTTCGTCTTTATTGTGATTATTCAGCAGTGCACATCTAACAAAACTTCTGAGTGTTTCAAAGCCTTGACCTACCGGATGGTATTTAGAACACTCAGCTGTTTGGCCACAAGCAGCTAATCAACAATTTGGTTAACTTGTACCCTATCAACAATAAAAAGAGTGTCTGTTAGTTTCTACCGCGCCAACCGCACCACCATACTAAGGCTACCTCAATAGACCGAAATTCGTAGATCACTGTACAGGTGGATAGGTCCCTTTACTCTACAACAAACTTGGGATGTTCGGAATCGAAGCAGGTGAGAAGACCGATTTCGTATGCACGTAGGCTCATTAGTAGATCGTCCTCCCCGATTAGGGTTACTTCTGTTCGCACAGGATGTAAAGAAAAAGATAAAGAGAGGAAAGGAAGCCCAACTGTTAACAAGTTAGAAATTTAGGGGGACCTAAACAGGCTAACCAACTGGTATCAAGATTTTTAACTGCAAATTAATGGTTAAACGTTCTGGCCGATAACCGCTGTTGTGGGCCCGACAACTAACATGGTTCGGACGCTAAGAGACCTGGGAGTGTTCATGAAAGACCAACTAAAATCGTGCTCACACCCGTGCAATGTGGCTCAGGAAAACCTTCCATATATAGAGTCCTAAGATGTTCAGCTGTTGAACTCGACGTTCACTGTGCCAGCAATGGAGTATGCGCATACGACCTACTTCTCATGCTCCAAATACACGGTCCTGGAACCCGAATGGTGGTTGGCATACAGAAATTATCCTCTTAGCAGGAACGCCAAGAAATAAATATTTGTACGCTTCGATATACATCTCACCTGCCCGATTTACTATTCCCGTTCGAGTTTGTCAAACGAAAGAAGTATCCAGAGCTACCACATTTGTTCCCACCTGCGTATGTCACACAAATAAGAGTCACGGTCACAGATGGGAAGTCTGGCGGACAGAAGGTCTGCCACATTTCTACCGGCCTTTCAGAGGTTTCCCGTTTGAGTTTGTCAAACGAAAAAAATATCCAGAACTACCACATTTTTTCCCATCTGCGTATGTCACACAAATAAGAGGTGACGGTCACAGGTGGGAAGTCTGGCTGACAGAAGGTCTGCCACATTTCTACCGGCCTTTCAGAGGAGCGATCAAGGTGGGCAACTGACTTCCAGCACCTATATTGCAGGCTTCGACAGTAAACCAGTTCGTATCTCTAATGAATCAGTGTCTCGTCAGGCTTACCGGGGCAGTGTCGGAGCCTCTTTACTCCTAACCCCCGAGTGCTGAGAAGAGACAGAACGGAAGGGATCAACCGCTGTCCATTCATCATCAGAATCGGAATTAGATCATACAGTAACTACGAGCAAAAAGGTAGTCATGGTGGACTGGCTAACTGAAACCTATCATTCAATTACATGCGGGCCGCGTAGGCTGTGTTAGAGCAGTCGAGTAGGACCATTTATGGAGCACCCCATGGGAAGTAATCGAGAATAAGACAAGTCAGTGACGAGGTGAAATATTGCTCACTGACGAAAGTCGGTTCGACTCTCCTTCGGACGTACAACAGCGGTTGAGCCAGTTATGTGCACTTTTTCGGTAAGGAACATAATAATAGTGAGCATTCTGGACAAAACTCCTGGACTGTCAGAATTCATATCCTAATTCTAAAAGAAATTTGCGAAGGACAACTGTTGTGAAAAATGCACGGTACTCTAGAATTTCCCTCGAAACCGTTGAGTCAAATGTCGGAACCAGCTCAGCTGGAGCTTTCAGTCGGTTTTTCTCAGATTCCCCAGTTTATTCCTTCCACTGCTCCTCAAGGGGACGATGAAAAGGTCATAAATCGGGGAAAGGCGGGAGGGAGAGATAATAGGAGATAGTAGTTGACCGAAGTGTGTTCTGTACTGTAAGTACCTCTGGGCAACCGAAATTTTAATTCCTTTATCGGGGTGGTGATTGCATTACTTTCATCTAGAATAGGACAAACGAGTTCAACTTCATAAGATGCATTTGTGCATCATACTTCGAAGTTGTATATAAGCCAATCAGGATGATTGAAAAGAATTGTATTGTCGTCGAAACACATTTCTCTCCCAGGAATCCTATGAAGCAATGCTCCGCTGGCCAGTGCTGGTTCCCAAGTTGAACTTGATCACAAAGCTTGTTGCCCAGGACACATTTTCAAAAAAGATCCGATAAACGGCAGAAAACTAATCTTTTTGATGAGGATAACAATACTTTCAAGTAAAACGGTATTCATATAAGGCCCGTAATGGAAACTACAGAAATAAATGCACAAACGATGTCGTGGTTGGAGAAAAAAATGACTCCAACGGTAACAATATATGAGTAAGTTTTTGGTGCAGCAGCGGATTCCACCTTTGTGAGCTTTGGGATCTAACGTCCTTTCAGAAGTTTGGCTACACTCATTAAACCAATCAACGAAATTCACCACCCGTTTTGTCCGTACAGCAATGCAGTTGATGCAAAAAAGGGACCAGAAGGGCAAGTCTCTCTTGGGTGTGGTCTCTTCCCCCTTTTCTCATTAAAAGGGGATGTTTCGCTTTACCCACAGGGAAGTTTTCTGTCTATGAGAGCATTTTTGAGAAGCCAAACCC